TTCTAATCTCTAGTTCCTTGAGCTCTAGCCCCTTAGCTTTCTCTTCAGCTCTGGCTTTTTCTCTAATTTCTAATTCCTTCAGTTCCTTGAGCTTGAATTCCTGTCCCCACTTCAATTTTTCGAAATCTTGGGAGCTTTGAATATTTTCACCCTCTGAGGCAATCAATACAGGTCCCTCAGATTCTTCCTCACTCAGAATTTGAGGGTTTCCATTTCTCTCAATCTCTCGAGGATCAATTTCCTCCCTTACTGGCTTTTTAGTTCTTTTGGGTGGTATGTACTTTCTTGATAAGACGGGCTGATTTCTATTGCTGAGTTCGTCAGGCCTCCTTTCAAAACACTTTTACTGCTGTTTTCTTTTTCCAGTATTTTTCTGGGGTAATTTGTAGCTCTTACTCGGCAGCTAAAGATGGCTATACTTTCTCCACAATGTTTCTTGGTCTGAGACAACCTTCTTGCCTCTAGACACAAAACAAATTCTGTTTTCAAGCCTCTGCTTTTTATTTTCCTATCACCTCAGATCTGCTCTGACCCTGGCTTCCAATTTTTACCCACCAGTGCTCCCTTATCTCTCTTGGATTTCAAGCTTGCCACTGGGTCTCTCAAATCCTGAGGTAAACGAAACAAATTTTTCCTTTAGAGTCGGTTCCCTCTCTTTAATTCCCCCAGATCTGTGTTCAGAAGCCCCGCCACTAAGCTTTTCCACAAAAGCTCTAGCAGGTCATCCACTTCTTCACCACAGACCTCTGACTAAAAGGTACCCAGGACCCCAGAAAATTCACTTTTAAACATTGGCTTCACTGGATTATTTCATATCCTGCCGCTGGACACCAATTGTGGAGTTCGCCCTTGTGGCCCTTGCTTGTCTTTCCCTCACAAAGGCTCACATCACATTTTCCTCTCACTGCCACCAGTGGACTACCTCAGTCCACAATATAAATGTCATTTGTCAGAACACTTGTCTTGTGAACAGAAACAGAACTTATTTATTGAAGTGAAGCAGATTGAATAATAACAGAAGTTCTTCAGATACACATTATACATAAGCAATTCATCAACAGTTCTCTCAGTACATACTTCTTTTCACTTGTAATATCCTTGCTACATTCTCTACCTATTTTTCTAACCAGCTCTATCAGTATCTGTTCCCTCTCTAACCAGCCCTATCTGACTCCTCCTTCTCCTGCCAAACCTGATGTAGGTGCTGACTCTGCCTCTCCAATCCTCTCATAGGCTCATGCAAATCAGTTCATGAATATGAATGGTATGAGTGACATTGGCTATTGTCACAATGGTTTAGGTAGTCCAGCAACTATGTAGTAGCAAAGGTAACTAACAACTTTGTCATGCCTAAAAGACTAGTAAATTTATGGCAAAGTGGATTTCAGCCTGCAAAAGCTTATCTCTGGATACACTTTTCAGTCTTTAAGGTCTCATAAGACTTTTCTTCTTTGTGTGTGTGTGTGTGTGTGTGTCTGTGTCTGTGTCTGTGTCTGTCTCTCTGTGTGCGTGTGTGTGTGTAAAAGCAATAACAAGGAGCTTTGGATTTGTCCAACTTTGCAGCAGCAAAACAGAACAATTCTTGAGGTTAGTTATACCCTCAGCATGATAGCTCTACAGCCCAAAGTGAACATTAGGTTCTCCAAAGTTGGCCTTTTCAGGTACTTTGCACCCAATTATTTGTACTTTACTGAGCCTATTGTAATTGTAACAGTGTAGTAATATACCACTTGTTTACTCAATTCTGTATCAGCAATATGGCACTAGGGAAGCATTTATGTGCACATGTCCCACTGACAGTAAGGGCAGTAACAATTTACATGCCCAATAGGTCTTAATTACTGCCACTTAGATTCTGCTAACTCCTGCAGCTCTACATTAACCAGTTCCACTTGAAGAAAATTAACTTCTCTAAGGGGTTGGGATTAAATGTGAGCTCACATGCAGGTGGGAAAAGCTTTTACTCCATGTTGAAAGTGCATGCAAAGCCAGGTTTCTGCATGTGCTATTTGCACTGCCTGCACCCAGAACTGATCTTATAAGGCAGGAAACCTCTAGCTGTAGATATGTCCAAACTAGTACTTCCATCATCCCGTAAAACTACTTATTGTGGCAGGGGCTAAGAATCAGAATCCAGTTTCTGGAGGGTGATGGACAGATGTCCCAGACCTTCCATGGGCAGTACTGATATGTAAACGAGTCCATGCAATGTGCTGGTTGGTTGATAGTTTTGGCAGCTTTAAAAGTCAATGAGATGAATTAATGAAAAGATCTATTTGTAGCTACTAGTATGACAAATATACTGCATCTTAAAATGGACTTAACCTCTGCATCAGGGCACATTTACTAATATGATATATGCCATACTTTGCCAATAATGCCTCTCTGCACTCTATATAGGACAAGCAGGACAATCTCTGTAATGAACATAAATTTGATGTTAGGAGTGACAACATACAAAAACCTGTACAATTTGGGGGGGTGGAGAGAAAGACCCACTACAAAACAAGGTTTCAAAGAGAAATATCTGATATTAGATATATATGGATGCTGGAGATAAATTTTAAAAGACTGAATATCAGTCAAGGGTTCTGACTTATCAAGAGTAAAATGCCACATTGCTTCACACAGTTTGACACTTATGTATTGTTATTCACAGCCTGATAGTCTATTCCTTTAATGATGAACCATTGTCACTTTGTTCATTACTCATATCCCCACCTGGTCATTGGGCCATGTGTAAATATCACACTCACTCTTATGTCTGAGGAAATTGACTCGATCCACATTAAAATATAGTACTTAGTATTTAATGTGTTGCAAAGTTTTTGTGTCATGGGTTTTTCTTTGCTTTGTTTTTTTTTGTCTTGTAAGGACATTGCCTTCTGTTTCCCTCCCTGCAGGAAGGACTGTTGCTATGGCAACAGGAGGGCAACCATCCTGCCTTTCCTTGTTCTTGGTCTTGTCACATTCATTTATAAAGCTGCCTTAAAAGTGTTGGTCGTAATTTCTGCTCATTAGAGCAAAGTGGGCAGCTCAGGTGTGGTCCTGGCACTGCTGACAGGACAATGACAGGCAGGGAACAGACAAGTTAACCCAAAAATTGAGGAGAGGAAGGGAGCTATCGTGAATCCCCCTCTGCTCTTTGTAGCACTTTCCCCTATGATTCCCTGTTGTGCACATCATATCCCAGCTGCCACACAAAGCACCCCATTGCCACACCTAAGACACTTTGCAAGATGAGAAGTCTATTCTGAAATACTATTAGGACTCAGACGTGTAAGCTGTTTTGTTAATGTGATCAGTTTTACTGATTTTGTTGTCACTGAACTGTTTAGGTGAGGGCTGGTCTTACCATTAAGAAAGAGTTGGATTACTGCTTTTGGCTGCAGCTAGTGGCCAGCCACTTCTCCTGCATCACCAGAACTGGCTGGCTAAAGACCCCTGAAATGTTGCCGGTGTGCTTGTACCCCTTTTCATTTTTTGAAAATGTTTAGTGATAAAACACTTTTCCTTGTATATTTTTTCTTTGCAACAATTTACCAATGTATCACTTAGCTGATGTCTTCCTTATTGTACCCATTGTCCCCATTTTTGTGTGGCTTATAGTTAATCCCCCCCCCAGCTTTTCAGCAACAATTCAAGTCCTTATAATGCTGCCCTATAGTTATCTAGTGACATATTCCACCAGCTGGTGCATTGACTACAGTTGGAACTGAGAGGAAAATGGCACATATATGCCACTTTAGCAATATGTATTTATGGTTTTTTTAAAATAAAATTTTAGGACAGTGGGGACCCAAAAACAGGATGGAAAATGGGTTGATTTATACGAGATGGCACGTGCAGCCTTCAGAACCAATACAAATAGCAAGAAATATAGCAAATGAACCATCAGCCATGTGAACAGGATCCACACTACATATCACATGTGACTATACTGTACATACAAATATATCAAAAAAGGAAGAAAAAGAAACTAGTCCCTGTGATTATGCCCCGCGTCCTTCACAGTTAATAAGACTTCTCTAGTCAGAGCTGTGACAACTTTTTTTTAACTATTCAGATTGGCTGGGGGATTCTGGGATTTTGACACCAAAAAGGCAGCTTTCCTTAGCTTTAGTGATGGCGGCGGTGGGGGGGGAGGATGAGATAGAACTGCATATCTGGGCAAGTGGTATGGCAGGATGGTATCCTGAAAAAGGAATGCTCAGATAAAATTGCAGTGCTAATGTTGGCATGGTAATACTTTATTTAATTTACTTAATACATTTATTTATAATGCATTCCTTATTAAGAGGTCTTCACCTGCTCATGAAAATGTTATATACAGTATATATACACAGTAAACCCTGTATTTTGTCTACAACTCTTGGAATTCCTCTGCCAACTTTGGTCATGTTGGAGCAGTAGTGACAGTGCATCTTGCCCAAGCCTGCTTGGCCATCCCTTTTATCTCAGCTGCTGGGGATGTTTGGGCCAACAGCTCCCATTAATTTTGTCCTGCAGGGTCAATGGCAAGGGACTATGAGAACGGTAGTTTAAAACCCCCAGAAGGTATGAGATTGCTTGGGCCTTGCTGACCCCCAGGGCCCCCCCACAAAACACATATCTCCTGTTAAAGTCATTATTTCTTTCTGTGTCGTATTATAATTTCCCCTTCACAGACACCTCATGTGAAGACACCCTTGGTGCTGAGATGTTTTCAGGAGACATTACGAGCAAACTGCAGCTCTCGTCTCATTCAAGTTGCCAAAGGGAAAGGAAGTCAGAGCAGGCTAACCAGGTTTTTTTCCTGACACCTTGTCAGAAGATGCCTCTTTGCTCCCAAGAATAAAAGCGCAACAAATAAAGGAAGTAGCTAACTATTTGCATCCTTTCAAGACACCCCCAAATCCCTGTGTCACAGTCCAAGATATCCCAGGCGGCCCCTCCTCCCCAGGGGCAAGGGCGCCAGGACCCCGCCCACCATCCAGGGTATCCAGTCCAAAGGCACTCACTGCGCAGTTGGCTGTGACCAAGCAGAAGCACCGGGCTGGGGGCACAGCGCCAAAACAAGGTGCCGAGATGCAGGGAGCCAGCAGGGAGCAAGGCAGGGGCAAGAACAGAAACAGGTGCAGGAACACAGGAGTCCCAAAGCAGAGATGCAGGAGGCAAGCAGGGGCGAAGGCAGGAACAGAAACACTGGAACGCAGGGACTCAGGAGCAGCAAGGTACGAAGAACAACAAGCAGGGCCAAAGACCTTTGTGGCGAGGCAAGTTCTGGCAGGGAGAGCATTCCCTCCAGGTGAGCCTCCTGAGTGGCCCAGCAGCTGCTCTACAGGCCAGGGCCTGAGCCTGCAAACACTAGGCCCTTGCTGGGTCAGGCTGGCCCCAATCCTGCAGTTGGCCAGGATGGTGTGGGCCAAATCCTGACACACACACCCTCTAACGGTGGGACTGGCCCATGGAGCGTTTTGTTTGTTCCCATGTTTGTTCAGCTTATCAGATCCAGGTAGTTGAGTGGCTAGAATTCTTTTTTACTAGTAGGCAACTTTTGTCTGGGAGGGAGGTGGGGGGGGGAGTGCACTGCACACCAGTTTTTGGATAGGACCTCTCAGACGTAGTGCTGTCCCCAGTTTTACCAGCTTCTTCTGATTTGCCAAGATTGTCTTTCTTGGTTAGGGATTATCTCTCTACAATGATTTGTGCTTTGCTAATATTCCCATTATATTACTGTCATGCACTGCATTTGGCGCTACCCTTGGCAACAATTTGGAAACTTTAAAACTAGCAGGCTTTTTGCTTGTCCAGTTATATGGCACCACTTTATAGGAGTAACATAGGCTATCCTTTGGTTTCAAGCCCAGAGCTAAGTACTGAAGGCATTTAAATTTAAAGCTTCAAGCAGCTTAGGACCACAGACAGAAAGAGATATTACCTTTTGTAACAAGGAAACCCTTGATGACAGATCGCATATGAGTGCCACAGCAAAAACTTCTCTCACCTCACGGCATTGCCAAATAATTTGCTTTGTGTTGTGATTGGTCTTCAGGGCTTAAGCACAGGATCCCTTTGAAGTTTGACTTCTCGAGCATGGAAGTCTGCCTGAATCAGGTCTTGCCATCACTAGTGTGCTTTCTCTCTAATGACAGACTGTTTGTTTCTGCCCCAAAATAGCTGGAGCCTCATGGCACAGTGGTTAAACTGGACTACTGCAGCCAAGACTCTGCTCACGATCTGAGTTCGATCCAAACAGATTCAGGTAGCTGGCTCAAGGTTGACTCAGCATTCCATCCTTCTGAGGTTGGTAAATTAAATACCCTGCTGGCTGGGTTGGAGAACAATGTGTAGCCTGCACAATTATGTTGTAAACTGCTTAGAGAGTGCTTTAAGCATTATGGGGTAGTATACAATCAGACACTTTGCTTTGGCCTTTGGCACTTGGCTGTGGAGAATCAGCCTACCATCTGCTCAAGTGCCTGTGTTTTAAGATCACCAAAGGGACCCTTTTCCAATAATGGTTGGTATTTAAGAAGGCAGCAGAAGGCAGTTTCAGCACTGTCTCCCTGATTGAGGAACACCCTCCCTATGGAAGTGTCATGTATGCCAGACCAAAATCTTTTTTTTTTGTGCCCAGGCACTTTAAACTGCTTATTTAGTGATTCTACATCTACATATCTATACGTCTATATCTATATGTATCTACCTATATCTGCTGCTGTTCTTTTTGTTGTACATTATATAAGTGTTTTAAAAACTGTATTTTCAATACAAGGCCTGGTAGCATAAGGTGAGAGGATGATATAAGAATATTATACGTAAAGAAGAAAGAATTCTGCCCCTATTTAAAAAGGCTGCCTGAATGAATGCACTAAATAACAGAGGTTGGAAGAGTGATTTTTATGGAATACAACTCCCAGAGGCCTGTCCCTCCTTCAGATCTCTGTGCTACAGAGAGAGTATGGAAGTGGTGCAAAGAAAGCAGACCTTCTTGCTTGATTTCTGCCTTTTGGACTTCAGAGAGTTCAGCCTGTCCTGATTTAGCTGTCTTTTTAGTTTTTAATTTTCCCCAGGCCTTTTAGACAGATGTTTAACTTCCTGTTTTGCTTTATTACATTGTTAAATGATACTAATTTGTTATTGCTGCTAAATAGATAAATAGAGGAATAGGAAGCAGCTCTCAGAATTCACACTGAAGAACACATATAACAAAAACAAAATATGTTCCACCAATATAGGAAAAGAGCAAAATGCCTTGGAGCTACCTTAAAAATCTCCAAGAATATAATGAAGATAGATGCCTTCTTGCTGGCTGATGGCAGCTGCAGTTTGTTTTGTGTTCACCAGAGGCATTTTGAGTTTGTCCTAAACAGTAATGTCTGCTCATAGTCTGCTGCACAACACTTGCACATTGGACTGGAGCCCACACAAGGGCAGCGATAATCCACATTCATGTGCCAGGAGTGCACACACCCTCCAATAATTCCATGGCATCACAAGGCAGACCTTCAAGGGAAGAGCATCAGGATAACCCTGTAAGCTGTTGTGGTGAGAGAATCTCTCCCCGCCTGTGCTATCCAGGGAGGAAAGAAACAAAACTGCCTTCCTTTGTTGATATATGCCATCAAATTGCCTCTGCCTCACAGCGAGTGGCGACCCCTTTGAATGAGCCATCTCCAAAATGTCCTGTCCTCAACAACCCTGCTTAGCTCTTGCAAATTCAAGGCAGTGGCTTCACTTAGACAGTACATCTGTTTTGTATTTGGTCTTCCTCTTTTCCTGCTTCCTTCCACCTTTCCCAGCATTATTGTCAGAGAATCCTGTCTTTTTTCATGATATGCCCAAAGTGGAAGAGCCTCAGCGTCAACATTTTTGCCTCCAGAGAGATAGTTCAGGCTTGATTTGTTCTACGACCCACTTGTTCATCTTTCTGGCACTTCAGGATATCCTCAAAGCTTTCCTCCGGCAGCATATTTCAAACAAATCATTTTTTTCCTGTCAGCTTTCTTTACTGTCCAGGTTTCACACCTATACATGGCGATCAGAAATACAAGAGTATAAATGATCTTGGTGTTGGTCTTCAGTGGCACATTCTTATACTTGGTGATCTTTTCCAGTTCTTTCATTGCTGCCTTTCCAAGTCTCAGTCTTCTTCTGATTTCTTGGCTGCAGTCTCCCTTAGTACTGACGACAATCCAAGGTATACAAAATCACTAATTATATCAATTTCTCCATTGTCAGCGCAAAGCTTTGCAGTTCTTCTGTAGTAGTTATTTTTGTCTTCTTCTTCTGTCCTGTTTTGGAACTTTCTTCTTTCACTTTGTCATCTGCATATCTTAAATTCTTGACATATCTTCTGCCAATTTTTACTTCTCCTTCATCTTAATCTAGTCTGGCCTCCCATATAGCATGTTTTGTGTACAGATTGAATAGCTAAGTGGATAAATTAACCTTTGTCAGACACTTTTGATTATAGGAAACCATTTTCTCTCTCCATATGTTTTTCTAACCATAGCTGCTTTTCCACAATACAAGTTACGCATCAGAACCATCAACTGCTCAGGCACACCCATTTTTTGCAGAACAACCCATAGTTTCTTGCGATCTACACAAAGGCTTTGCTGTAGTCTCTAAAACATAGACTGATCTTCTTCTGAAACCATCTGCTGTGCTCCAGTAGCCAGTGGATGTTTGCAATGTGATACTGAGTGCCTCTTCCTTTTTGAAATTCAGCTTGAACATCAGCCATTTCTTGCTCCATATAAGGTAAAAGCCTTTGTTGATACACTTTGAGCATCATTTTGCTTGCATGGGAAATTAAAGCAATTGTCCTATAGTTACTGCACTCTTTGGCATCTCCTTTTTTAGGGACTGGAATGTATATTTAACATTTTCAGTCTGTGGGCTGTTGTTTTATTTTCCATATTTGTTGGCATGTTCTTGTTAGGATTTTGACAGATTCAGTCTCCGTGGCTTGAAACAATTCCATCGTTGTCTCATCTACACCTGGTGATTTATTTTTCCTTATACTTCCAGAGTGTTTTTCACTTTCTAGAAATGCAGGTTTTTTGGCATAGGATTCTTCTTCAAATGAATCTGTCATTTTTTCCTCTCTTCTGTATAGCTCTTTAGTATACTGTTTCCATCTTCTCTTTATTTTCTCCTGGTCAGATAGTGTACTTCCCTCTTGGTTTTTCAGCATTCCTAATCTACACTTAAATTTCCCTTTGATTTCTTTGATCTTCTGACAATATTGTTCTTACCTTCACTGACATACTCAAACCCCTTCACCACATTACGTTGTGCATCCAATAACTGCCTTCTAGGTAGCTTTAATGCTCTTAGATGTTGCCAGGAACTGGGTAAGGTCTGGATAAGGGGAAATATATTTGATGCGGTTTCGTTGTAGAGAAGGGGTGAACAGCCTGCGTTTCTTTAGATATTGGGCTATAATTCACACAATCATGGGTAGCATAGCTACGTCCAGTGCTGAAAGATAATGAGAAGTGGTCAAGAAATATCTATTCTTGGGGCTCAAATAGCCCTTATCCTTAGAAAGACCAGAAGATGCTCTGCTCGGTGGTGCAAAACTTCCTCAGCCTGTAGAAAATCCCAGTTCCAGTTATCGGCATCTCCAGTAGCCTGGGAAAGATCTCACCTGGAAACCTGGATCCTCATTATCAGTCACAGGATGGGCTACTGGTAACCCTCCAAGTGTTGTTGAACTACATCTCCCATGAACCTTCACCACTGGTTATCCTGTCAAGAGCTGATGGGGACATCTGAAGCACCACAGGTTTTCTGTGCTTGCTCTAAATTCACTGTCTGACAGGGTATAAGCAGATTCCTATTTTCTGAAATACATTAAAAAACCACATCATCCAAAATAGTGTCTACATTTTGGAAGGGATTGATTACAGTGAAGATGAACAGTGAAGATGCAATTCCTAAGTGGCTGCAGATTGTATTGAATGGGTCAAAGGTCACATTGAATAAGATAATACAGCAATAATTTATTTTATTTGTTGCATTAATATCACACTTTTCCTAAGATGGCCTGCATGGCTTGCCTCCTCCACACTTTATCCTCACAAGAGCCCTGTGAGGTTGATCAGGCTGGGATAGTCTGACCGACCCAAGGTCATCTACTGCAGTGGTTCTTAACCTTGGGTTACTCAGGTGTTTTTGGACTGCAACTCCCAGAAGCCTTCACCACCAGCTGTGCTGGCTGGGGTTTCTGGGAGTTGCAGTTCAAAAACACTTGAGTAACCCAAGGTTAAGAACCACTGATCTACTGTATTT